GTTCTGGATTGCTGGGAAACCGCTGTCCAGCAGACCCCTCTGGCTGAAGCAGGAGTCGAGGCGGAAGGACGGGGAAGGCCCAGAGGGCGACCTCAGTGTTTCCGGATTATCCAGTGTCCCTTCTTCCAGCAAGAATGAGCTTGCAGGAGCCAGGGTCTGCTCAGGTATACAGATCTATCCAGAGCCCAGGGAAAGGCTTCAACAGGGGAGGTGACCTGCCCCAAAAGGTATTTTAGGAAAGTTAGTATATCCGGGAAACCAATCTAAAGTTTATTCCAATGGAACTGATCTGAAGAATCAAAACTGTAGACAAAAGATTCCCCTAAAGCTGGAATTCGAGACAGGTGATAAAAACATGGCCAAGAAAAATCTGGCGATGTTTGAAAACCAGACAGGAATGGGGGAAACACAAAGAGAATGGTAAGGGTGAACTCAGACATCCTTGGGGACAGTAGGGCATCTAAGTGGCAACTAAGTGCTGAACGGGACAGCACGGAGCCCTGCGACAGGCCTGCACAAACCTGTCCTGGCGAGGGCCACGGGTTCGTCAGCTCTGCCGCGATGGGGACTGGTCCATCCCACTCCCTGCTCTGCCCCCAGCACAGCTCACACAGACCAGGCGTGCGATACTTTGTGAATGAAGTATTATGATCCGATCGAAATTTATTCAGCTTATCCTCAAGGATATCATGACTCTGTCAGATACCTTGATGGAATTCACACCCACTCTCTTTATTATATTCTTTCCGAGACCACGCAATCCTATTAGAGAAAGAAATGAGGTCAATTTAATGGGAATTACTTTCAGTGAACCAAGCCTCCCCCTCCCAAGAGCACTGATCACGAACACCAAGGAAGAAGCCGCACGTGTTACGCTCAAAGACTCTGTCCTTGACAACGTCCCATTCAATTACTTTAAAGTGTTTTGGTTGAGGACGAGAAAGTCTCCATTACGATCATTCACTCAAGTCACGTTTCAGGGGCCCACACATAGGTATGAATTCCCAAAGAGCCTCCAGAAAGAGGAGAAATAAAACGGCAGCACGGACAAAGTGACGGCAAACAACTTGCTATGTTCTACAGAATTCCAGAGAGGGGGGCGCCTGGGGGCACATTCAGTTGAGCGACCGACTCTTGGTTTCGGCTTAGGGTCGTGGGATCCAGCCCCACATCCGGGCTCCGTGTGCAGTGGGGAGTCTGCTTGAGGATTCTCTCTCCCTCTCCTTCTGCCCCCCTCAAAACAAATAAATAAATCTAAAAAAAAAAAAGGAATTTCAGAAATGATTGACAGTACAGGTGAGTCTGACCTTGGGACTGTCCAGTGTCCATCCCCCTTGCTCCGACCTAGTGGCCTGTTTTTCCTGTGGCGAGTCACCCGCCTGACTCCCAGCTCAGTGGCTGGAGCAGCGCTGCAGGGGTGGACACAGGGCCCACTGGGCAGTGGGCACATCCTCCTCCCTGCTCACAGTAAATGGCCCAGGAGCTGGTCTCGTCCATGTCCCTGGCCGTAGTGACTGGTTTGGGGGATGGCCACTTGACCCGATTTGGGTCAGTGAGAACAAGAGCAGGATTTTACTCACAGACTTGCTTCTTTCTGCCAGGAATGCGAACGGCAAGGCTGCTGCGGGATGTGGAGCTGCCACGGGCCACCACGGGCCACCACAGGCCACCACAGGCCACCACACAGGCCACCATGGGGCACCTGGAACTGAAGCCAACCCAGATGAAGGCGGAGTCAAAGTTGATCCTGAGAACTCTGATCTAGCCGTATCGAAAGCTAGCCCTTCGGTGGATTTTTCAGTCTGTGAGCCAATAAAATCCCATTTTCGATTAAGCCATGTTGAATCAGATCATGTGCTTTCCGTGGAAAGACTCCTGGTTTATCTAATTGCCCAGGCAGCCCTCACTCCGAGGACAAGTTCAGGAAAGAGGCAGCCCCTCTCTTCCACTTAGCAATCTCTTGCTTCGCTGTATACACAGTGCAAGCAAACCCCATGTGAAATTTTTAAGAACTTACAATTGCAACTGCAGACACCAAAACTCACTCTTTTCTAAGCCGTGGTAACATGGGCAAACTAGAAAGGTAAACAGGCTACATAAGCCAAGCCAGGAGGGACGATCTGAGGTCTAACCAGCTCATCCCAGACAACGTGAAGCTCAATTTGCCGTGGGAACCCATGGTGCTCATAACAGACGTGCCTGCTCAAACATTTCTACCAACAGCAGCCTGTTGAAGAGCCTTACCCCCAGACTGCAAGAAACCAGATATGACCCCCTCTCCCTTTGCAACCCAGATCGCAAGTGTCTGCCAAGAACACACAGGGGGAAAGCAACTGGCCCCATAACTATAGCGTGGATAAATGCACTGGAGGAAGGAAATGAACAGTTTCTTGAGTGGACTTCTTTCTATTCAGGGCCAAGCCCTGAACTTCTATATTCTTAATATTCTCTACCTTTTCATTTGGTGCCTGTATCTGACATGCCCTGCAGGCTGGGATAGTTTTCTATTTACATACGTTTGCTGTCTCCCCAGTTAAGAGTGTGACCCCCTGAAGTCCAGGACCTCATCTTTCCAGACCTAACAGTGTCTAACACAATGAAGATGCTCAGGAAACGTTTCTTGGAAATTATCAAAATATTACACCCTTGGCTAGCAATGAGTTGATAGTAAAATGAGTAATTCTGTCTTCCTTGCTCAAAATTAAGAAGTTACTATTTGGAATGCCCAGGTGGTTCAGTCGGTGAAGCATCTGCCTTTGGCTTGGGTCATGATCCCGGGGTCCTAGGATCAAACCCTGTATCAGGCTCTTCACTCAGTGGGGAGTCTGTAGATTCTCTCTCCCTCTGCCCCTCCCCACCCCGACTCATGTGCACACTCTCTCTCACTCAAAAAAATAAATAAATAAAATAAATAAACCATAGTTAGCTATTTACCAAACAGCTCTAAAAACCACACATAAATGATTTAGCTCATTGACTTGGACTGAGTTTATCATAAGCGGGAAATGCAACCAGATTAAGAGGAAAGATCATGTCTCCTCCTTACTCTTCCCACTGCTGTACTTAAATAGAAATAGAACAAAGGCATAAAGGTTCAGGGTGTACACTTTGGCTCAACCTAAGGAATACACTCCAGAATGGGCCGAGCTGTTACAGAGACTGTACCCCGGGAAGAACTGGCGATGGGGATTTCAGCAGGGACATCACGAGGTTGTGTGAGCACCAAAGGGGCAGCTAACACAGAGTCAGACAGAGCTGGACAGTCCTGGGTCCCACTCGTAAGCCTGCAAGTCCACAGAAGTAGCTGCAATCATTCTGAGCAATGTCCCAGCCTCATCGTACAAGCCTGGGCTACTCCCCGAGATACACCACACCCCCTTATTGTCTCACTGACTTCAAATACCTGCAACCTCTCCCCTTGAAGACACGCCACCATCCCATAATGTTGGCATTCCTCCGGTCTACCGATGCAGGACAGGAAGGAGGTAGATCTGAGTATACCTTTGGTGCCTCACTTCTAGCAGAGTGCAGGACTGGATAATAGAGGGGGAGTTAAGGTCACCAACGTCGCCAGATGACCCTACCACCACGATAAGCCCTGCCCTATCCCCTCCCGCCCCATCATGCTGATTTTGTGGGTTACAGTGTTAGGCTGGAAGGAAGCAGAAATAGAAAAATGACTTCACAAAGCTGCTTTGGGGTTCCCTGCAACTGTTCAAGTCTTAGTCAAACATACACCTTTAAGAAGGTCTGAGTCATCATTTGACAAACTAGTATCCCTGTCTTGTTTTGCTTTCAGCTCTTTGACTACTTATTAACGATTAAATCTCCCAACCGGCTGTTGGCTGTTGGCCAGGGAAGAGCGTGTGCAAAGGTCTTAGTCAAACATACACCTTTAAGAAGGTCTGAGTCATCATTTGACAAACTAGTATCCCTGTCTTGTTTTGCTTTCAGCTCTTTGACTACTTATTAACGATTAAATCTCCCAACCGGCTGTTGGCTGTTGGCCAGGGAAGAGCGTGCGCAAAGGCCCAGCAGTAAAGAAAGCCAGCAGGGCTGGGAGACAGAGCTACTCCGAGCGGCTGGAACCTGGCTTACACAGTGGGGGACCGGAGAGAGGTGAAAACGGACAGACACGCAGTGCCAAGTTGGGAAGAGCCTCGTAAGGAGTGTCCGGTTCCCCCCCAGGGCAGCAGGAGGTCGCTGAGATACCTGAAACAGGGCCGAGACACAGTCAGATGTGTGTCTCGGGAATCTCGTCGCACGGCCTGTGTGCGCAGTGGACCGACAGGGCGGACAGGCGCAAGAGGTGGCGAGGAGCAGCAGTGAGGAGGCTGTGGGGACAACGCTGGCGGCTCGGACTGCAGACGGGGCTGCGGGGTCGCGGGGCCGCAGAGGAGAGCAACGGACATGCGCAGTAAACATTCGGCAGTAACATCCTAAGGACTTGGCCGTGGACCACTCGAGGGGTGAGAGAGAGAGAGAGAGAAAGAGGGAAGTCAAGGATGATCCTGAGATTCCCGGCACGGCCAGCCGCGTGGCGGATGGCACCACGCGCTAAGAGGGACATGCGGCCGGAGGGGCTGAGGGGGACGGGATTCAGCCTGGAGCAGGCTGATGCCCACGTGACATCCAAGAGGAGATGTCCAGAAGGCAGGTGCCTGATCTGAAGCGGAGACAGAAAAGCTTATTAGCATTAATAATAATGTGCTCATTAATATAGGGAGCATAAGGGGGATCATGGGAAATGATGAAATTCTCCAGGGAAAATGTCTAATCTGACCCACGGGTAAGGGCAAGAGTCTGTACAAAGGCGGCCACACCTGAATTACCTCACTGTCACAGCTTACCGGGGGCATCTCGCCCTAAGCCGGGTAATGAGGGTGTCTTGGAACAGAAGCGCCACACTGTTCGTCCCTGTAAGAAAAGCGGCCCCCACGACCCGAATGTCACCATCTGCCAGCACCCTGGCATGTCAGTTTCAGTACGTTAGCACTCACCTGTCGACAAAGCTTCCTCCCGAACCTCGTCCTCTTTGGGCTGATGAATGTTCCAGGACGTTTTGGGAAGTGAGGAGACCTCCTCGGGGGATGCCAGCTTCACCATATCCATGTGATTGCTCTGGAACTGATACCTTGGGATGAAGCAGGTTTTGCCTCGCCGGAAAATGTCCTTGATGATCTCCTCTGTCTCGATTTCATCTTGCATGCTCAGGAAGATGGAAATCCTTTCGGACTTTTGATACCGACTGTGGGCCATCACCTAAATGGGAAATGGCAGTCACATTGATCCCCCAAGGTTACACTTGCAAACACCAGTAGCCCCCCCCTTCACGGTGTTCATGCTTTCTCCCTTCTCTCTCCACCTTCTCCAGCTCCTTGAACTATCCAAACACAAATCACCAACGGACAGCAGAGTGGCAGAGGGGGCCAGACAGGGCTGCATCCTGAAGCCCAGGCCTTGGTTCTGAACCCAGCAACCACCTCTCTGACCCCTTGTCGTCTTTCTCTAGCAGGAGCAAGAACTCGTTAGAAAGTTGCTGCCTGCGCACAGAATCCCAGGCCTGCCCTCCAGCCCACACGTGCCGGCCGCCTTCGGTCACCCCGCACACTGCCCTGAGCATCTCTGCCTTGCTTTAACTCTGAACCTCGGCTCCCACGAGCTTCTTCACTCCCTGGATTGTCAGGCTCATCTCCCCCTAAATCCCACCCATTTAAGCCAACTCGGGCACTCGCTTCTCCTGATTTGGCAGAACACTTACAACACTTAAGAGTGCACTTAACACTGACTTATGTATCATCGGGCTGATTACTAACTGTTTCACAAGTCCTAACTGCAGTATTCTAACCAGGTTGTAAGTTCCTGGAAGCAGGGGACATGCCTGTCCTTCTTCAGCTCTGTGCACCTCTGTCCCCACCTCTTACAACTCTGCTGTCCAAACAGATGTTAAAGTGTTTGCAGAGATGGGAGGTGGGGGATCCTGGAGAGGCGCAGTCCTTCTAGAAACAAATGCCTGGTTGCGAGAAGGTGGCCCCGAGATGAGAGAACGCCATCATGCTCAGTTTGTTCATGCATCAGGCAGGAGAGGGGCTAAGCTTTGCTGGCTACAGAGCAGTTAACCTCAGAACTGCCCCAGGCTCACAATTTAGCTCTTAGCTCCCCTTCCTTTTCTGTTCTTCCGAGCTAAGAAGACACAGCTACCACAACATTGGCTTATAAATAGGACTGGCAGAAAGAGACAGGTACAGAAAGTCAAGTAACTCCTAATAGAAAGGAGCGCACAGAAATTCAGCAGACGGAACACGCCAGACAGGGGCCAAGGAAGGAAGTGAGCTCCATCTCCTTGGGAAGTTACAGCACTGTTACGAGGCCTGAAATAAGGCGAAATGAAAAGAAATGCGACACCCAGACCCTGCGCAGACCTGAGGCTTCTGGTACCCAAGTACTTTCTGAGAAAGTTAAGTGTCTGTCGTGTTTGTTCTCTTTAAAGAGAACATGAAACATCAAGAGCTGAATACGCAGCAATAGACATCAGTTAAAATTCAGCGCGAGGCTGTGCATACGCATTTATCTTTCTTGCTTCCTGAAATCTCATTTATACGACAGTAAAGAAGCATGAAAAGAGAAAACCATTATAGCACTGAGAACAGGAGAACAGACATGTGACTACTTTCTGTGAGACGGAGAGGAGATGGGACAGTATTTCCAGACAAACAGCAGCTGACGTAATACTCCGAGGACATGGCTGTGGGGCAGGCAGAACACATCCCTCCCCGAGCAACTGCAAAAGGCAGAGATCCCCAGGTGCTGTCACACCTTCATTCATAAATACAATAAATAAATACAATAAAGTTTCAGCAAACATTTTAGAAACCCAAAACACAAAAGAGAAGGACTATGGGGGGGGGGGGACGGTGATCCAGTGGGAAACTGAGATAATTCAGAGAATGGGAGATTTTTAAATTCTAATTAGTTTTCTCAGACAAATTCAAGATAGTTGCATCTATAAAATAACAACAGGCTGCTATGGAAAGAAAGCAATCAGAAAATCAAGAAATGATACTTGAAAATTAAAATTAAGAATACCAAAATTTAAAAGTTCAGGAGAAAGCCTTCAAGTAGGAGAAAAAGACAAAGAAATGGGGAAAGTAAAAAAAAAAAAAAAAAAATCCTAAGAGACACAAAGTCAGTATAGGATTATCACTATTTGGTTCACAGGAATTGCAGAGAGGCACAAAGGCAAAGAAGTAATCAAAGATGTAACAGATAAAGAGACCAGTCTTCAGACTGGTTGGAGGTCATGGGTGCTGAGCAGAACAAAGAAAAATATTTTTGAATTTGAAATTCAAACTATCAGCCAAATATGAGGGTAAAGACATTTTCTAATGTATAAAGTCTTAAAAAGTTTACCCCCATAGATATTTCTAAAAAGAAAAAAATTACTTGAGAATACACTCTAGTAAGATGGAAAAAAAGAAACCCAACCAGGAAGATACTGGGTTCGAGTAGCAGCCCTAACTCAGAAGCAGGGTGGGAGGAAGCCCAGGCTGTGCACTGGGCTTGAGCAGAGGGAGCAGGGGGCTGGAGTGCTCTCGGGAAGAAAATGGATTTATTTAAACAACAAAATGAAAAAGAATCTACTGATAAGATAAACGCATATTCTTGTTTTGCCAAAAAGGAAAAATAAAGGCGATCAGAAGCTCCTTGAAAAACACAGAGCTGAATTAGAAATGTAGATTCCAAATAGGAACAGACTAAAACACGTCATGATTTTGAGCAGTTTTAGAGCATAATGAGAGAGTTCTCAGTAATGACACTTGAAGCATTCTCCGCCTAGCCACATACATCTAGCGACACAGAAACATACATCCTTATCTTATAATCATACAACTTGGTTTTACAGTGAATACTACCTATATAACCAATATATTGTAAATACTATTTACTTAAATTCCAAATTTGGAAATCAGTCACAGAAAATGCTCAGTAGATTCATTCTAATTATAAAACAGAATACAAATATTATAAAACTTGGCAATTTAAGTACGATGATACAGGGGTCAGAAATTGGCAGATGCAACAGAAGACAGAGTACAGGACACTAATTTCCTTATTTAGCTGGGGAGTCAAGATATGGCATAAAGTTGAATTTCTTCACCGTACATCACTTTTCCGATAAATTTCTAAATTATAAAAAAAGCTGCTGTGTCATTAAGAATAAATGTGCCTTTTAAAAAACGTTATTGAGAAAGGCATCACTTAGCACCTTTATTGAACGTGCACTATGGCAAAACACTGCTCTAAGCACAGCACGTGGATGTTTCTGACCATGATCCATTGGTTGACCATGAAATCAATAGCAGGTTACAATCAGCATTTTTAAATAAAACAGAATATAGTAAAGTTCACTGTATAGAGTAAGAATTGTGAAACACTGGGCTGTGAAACATTTCTTGTATGTGTGTATTTGTAGGGGGTAAAATGTACGGAGTACGGAGGGTCATGGGTCTGCTTTTCAACTTTTCTCTCTCCTCTGTTGCCAGCTCTGAGTTGTCACCCTATTTTGTCACTGGTTCTGCATCTGCGCCAGCTACTGTTCCCACCCGGAATTTATGAACTCCTATCTTCTACAGACAGACAAACTGAACTCCTCTTTATTTTCCCCACACCATTCCAAAATCTGCTCCAGCTCCTATGTGCCTCCTGTCTAGTGACCTTAAACCCCCAGCTCTGAATTTTGAAATCACAGAAGACTCCTCTGCTTTCCACTACTGTCTGAGCTCTATCCAACCAGTTGCCAGGTTTGGCTGATTCTCAACAGCACAGACTCCCATTTTCCAAAATGCTGCCAATATGCTTTTCCTAAAGGATAGATCAAAAACGTGTGTTTCAAACACCCTCGCCCTCCTTAGCCCGGGACCCCTTCGCCGCGCGTTCCCCCGACAGAAGGACGTGCGCGCCCCCGGAGGCCGCCCGCGGAGAAGCGTGCCCGGAGGCGTCCTCCCGGCTCCTGCTGAGACGTGCGCGCGCCCGGGAGCGACGTGCGCACGCCGGGGGCTGCGCCTGCGCAGGCCGCCAAACCAGAGCCGCCTGGCCGTTACGCGAGCGTGGCGGTCCGGTGCAGTGGCGGGCCTCGCGGTCTCGCACCTTCTGGGCCAAGAGGCGGGACTGGCGCAGCCGTTCCTCGGCGCTCATCGCGCGCAGACGCTGCTTGAGCTCGGCCCGCAGGCTCCGCTTGGCGCTGCTCACGGCCACCGCCGCCATCTCTCGGGCTCCCCTGTGTTCGTCCCCGCTTCCGGGTCGCGGGCGCCCCGCCCCCAGCACACCTCCCGCCTGGGACCGGGTTCCGGGCGGCCCCTGGGGAGGAGGAGAGTCTGGGCTCGGGGCGGTCTCGAGAGAGAGGCGGGGAGGGTCCGAGATAGGCGGGTTCCTGGGGGGAGGGTCCGGGCCCAATGAGGCCCCGGGGGAGGGTCCGAGGTGGGGAGGGGCGGAGGGGAGGGCCCGGGCTCTGGGCGGCCCCGGGGGATGGGGGATGGGGGAGGGCCCGAGGTAGGCGGTTTCCTGGGGGGAGGGTTCGGGGGAGGGGCGGCCCGGGGGGAGGGTTAAAGGTCGGCGGGGGTACCGAGGGTCCGGGCTCCGGGTGATCCCGGGGGAGGGGTATGTTGTCCGGGCTCGGCGCGGCCCCGGGGGTCGAGTGACCGCCTGGCCCCGGCTTCCCGACCCCCCGACCCGGCTGTGGCCCGACCTGGGCTCGGGGAGGGGGCGCCCTGGGGGCCCCAGCGCTGGCCTAGATTCTTGTGAGTGAGCCTTGCAGTCCTTAGGAGCTGTGTGGGGCCTGACAAGAGTGCAGGGGCAGGCCAATGAGAAGTACCCAGGATACGCAGACCTACTGGTTAAAGGGAAAATGATTTCGTTTTTTGGCAAAAACACTCCTTTTTATTTTCCGGTGGGTGGGAGGGAGCCGGTTTATTACCGAGGGACAGGACAGAGCGTTGATGCGGCAGGTGCCTTTTGTGTTCACCTCTGGAGAATTGCCCAGTTTATGACAGGTTCAAGGTCCAGCAGTATTTTCACTGTGCAATGCCTGGAACTTGGGCCTCCTAGGAAAGCACTGTTCTTTCAGGAATAAACGATGAGGAGATGGAGACACCAAGTTTTCTTTGTCTTGCAGAGCGTGTACCTGGATTGGAAAGAAAGAAGACCATAATTCAAGGGACTAACTCAGTGTGGAGAAAGGCTCTTAAACTCTAGATTTAGCCCTCACAGGTTGACACCAGTGACCCGATGAAAAGGTGAGAGGGTTCGTTTATTTTACAGATAAGGAAATGGAACTTGTAAAATAATTAGAAGTTGAGAAAATTTAGTTAAGTTTTATGTTAATCAATGTTACTGAAGTTCCTATGGGAAAACATTCAAGAAGAGCCCGGAAAACATGTAAAATGAAAGGCCCCCTGGGGAACTGGCCCTTCCAAACCTTGAAACATACTTTAAAACCCCTGTAATTACAATAGTACGGCACTGCCACACAGTGGAACAGTGGAATAGGATAGAAAGCACAGAAATAGATCTGAAGCCGTATGGAAATTTAGTATATGACAAAGATATCTCAAATCACTGGGGCCAGCATCAACTTTTAAATAAATGGTCCTGGGAGAGCTAGACAGCCGTTTTTTAAAAGATAAAATTTTGTCCATATTTCACACCATACATAAGAAAAAATTCCAAATGAATTAAGGGTCTCGTGTAAAACCTGAGACTGTAGAAGGAGAGAGGGCAGTTCCTCTTTAATCTCAGTGTGGGGGATAAGTTTTTCTCTTATTGCCATAAGAGAAAAACCTGATGAATTTGACTACATACAAGTTTTTTGTAATTTTGCACAGCATAAAAAGCCATACACAATATTAGAAGACAGCTGACAAATGAGATACTTGTAACATAACCCACAGACAAAGGGTCAATTTCTTTTAATAAAGAACTCTTCAAAAGTTGGGTTACAGGGCAGTAAGGCAAGAAAAATAATAACAGGCAACCAGACTGGAAAGAAAGAACTAAAACTATCTCTGCATATGACATGATTTTATATATAGGAAATCCCAAGGAATCCGTAAAAAAAGCTATTAGAACCAATAAACTGGAGCTCAGCAAAGTTGCAGGATATGAGACCAATCTTCCAGCCTGGCACTATTCATACTAGACATATTTCTGGTTCTACAGCAGCTTCTTGGCCTTTGGATTCAAATTAGGACCATGGCCCTGGAGATTTTGCTGACCTCCATCATCACATGAGCCAGTTCTTTATCATAAGTCTGGAACCAATAGGAGATAACTCCTGTTGGTTCCGTCAAGCTACATACACAGCTGACCCTCAAACAACATGGGGACTAGGGGCACTGACCCCCCCACACACAGTCAACTCTCCAAAAACTTAACTAATAGCCTACCATTGATGGAAGCTTTACAGATAACATGCACAGTTGATGAACACCTAGTTTGTGTATGTGTTATAGACTATTCTTACAATAAAGTAAGCTAGAGAAGAGAGTGTTATTAAAATCATAAGAGAAAATACATTTACAGTACTGGACTATATTTATTAAAGAAGATCTATGTGTAAGTGAACCCATGCAGTTCATGCCTATGTTTATTGGCCAACTAAAACAGGAGATAATATAGGTAGGAGATTTATATGTATATCTCATGATATATATGTTATTAAGTATATATAATAATAGGTGTATATAACAAGATATAAACCGTACATAAGACTATATATATATATATATATATATATATACAGATCTCCTATTGATTCCCTTTCTCTAGAGAACCCTGACTAATACAGAGTTATATAATAATGCAGATAGGCTCAAATTTAAAAAACAATTTCATTTGCAATAGCATAAAAAAATACTTAGAAATAAATTTAACAAGTGTTAGAGTTCTGAAAACTACATGGCATTGTTGAAAGAAAGAAGGTCTGTATAAATTAAAGGACATCCCATATTCATGGATTCGAAGACTTAATATTAACATAGCACTACTCCCTAAATTGATCTATAGAGTCAACACAATACCTATCAAATTGGCTTTTTTGCAAAAATTGACAAACTTACCCTAAAATTCTCATGGAAATGCAAGGAACCCAGAATAACCAAAACATTCTTGAAAGAAGAGGACAAAGTTGGAAAACTCACACTACTGAACTAGAAAAGTTACTACAAAGATACAGCAATCCAGACCGTGTGGTCCTGGCGTAAGGACAGAAGGATAGGTAAATGGCATAGACTTGAGAGCCCAGAACTAAACCTTCACATTCATGGTCAGTTGATTTTCCTGAAAAAGAGTGCCAAGATGATTCTATAGGGAAAGAATAGTCTTTTCCAACAAACAGTGATGGGATATGGAAAACAAGGAAGTTGGACCCTTATGTAACACCATTTCAAAATTTAACTCAAAATAGATCAAAGGCCTAAATATAAGTGCTGAAACAAAACTCTCAGAAGAAAACATAGGCATAAATGTTTACCACCTTGGATTAGGCAATGGTTCCTTAGTTATAACACCAAACATGCAAGCCACAAAAGAAAAGTAAATGGACTTCATCAAAATTAAACACATTAGTACGTTAGAGGACACCATCATATATCTGATAAGGGAATTGAATCCAGAATATATAAAGAACTCTTAAAACTCCGCAATAAAAGAAGATAATCTATTTTAAAGCAGGCCAAAGACAAATATAGACAGATCTCCACATAAGATACACAAATGGCTAATAAGCATATGAAAAGATGTCAGCATCATTAGTTATTAGAGAAATGCAAACCACAACCATGAAGAGATACCACTCGCACACACTCACGTGGCTATAATCAGAAACACAGAAGAGTGTTGGCGAGAGTGTGGAGAAACGAGCCCTCGTGCTCATGGGAACATGAGACGCTACAGCACGGATGGGCCTAGGGACAGGCCCCACGAAAGGCCACATACTGTGCGGTCCCATTTATGTGAGATATCCAGAACAGGCAGATCCATAGAGACAGCAAGGAGATGAGTGGTTGCCTGGGGCTAGGAAGGAGGGGAGTGGAGCACGGGGTTTCTGTTTGGGGTGATGATGTTCTAAAATTAGATTGAGATGGTAGTTGCAAAGCACCGTGAATGTACTAGAAACTGCGGAATTGTTCGTTTTAAAAGGGTGAATTTAACGTCCATTACGTCTCTGTAAAATAAACAATAGCATAAAAGAAGATCTACACGTATCTGCTCATTTCCGAAAGAAAAAAATGCAATACATATAAACTGGACCCAGACTTTGGGTCCCCCAGGGAAAAGGTGAGGACAGGGTGGGGGAGTGGAAAGGGAGTAGCCAGGTGACGAGGGGAAAGTGGTGTTTCTTCGATGACACCGGTCTGGGTAGCTCTGACCCTCAGAACCACGCCAACATCTGCACACACACGTGTGCACATACATGCAGCCGGGGTGTGGAAGGAAGCCAAAACAGTGCAAGCAGGGACAGAACGGAGCTGCGCTGGACGTGGCTACCAATCACGTGATTGGGGGGTGGAGAAGAAAAGGACCAACGTAAGTAACTTCAGAAAACAGCATTTTGACTGAAGACTAAAACAGCTCTGCACTAATCCGGCACTCCAGTAAGACATTTGTTTTTCATAGGGTTATACATCAGTGTGAAACTACTTTATCTGTGTTCTAGAATTGAGCAAATAAGTAGATTGTAGATAATGAGAGTCCTGGTTTCTCCCTGTCAGGAAAAACAAGTTACAAATAAGGAGTAAAGGTTGGAATGAACCCTGTTGTATTGCCTTGGAAGTGGAAGTGTTGATATAAATTTGTGATTTTAAATGTATATACAAATGGATAGAGAAATAGAGATGGGTGTTACATACATGTACTTATGTTTCCTAGTTCTGTTCGTGAGAGGACCTAGAAGCGATGACCCTCCGTAGCAATGAAATCTAGCGTCCAGATCTTGGTTTCCAAATGTCATTTTTCAACAAAAAAATAGGACTTCCAGAGTTGAGGCAGGAGCAAGATGGGCCTGGACTATCTCGTGGTGCCACAAGGTAAGGAAGTGATCCCAACGGAAGGAAGCATGTCAGAAAGGGAGCTTCAACTCCAAATTGGAGTACCCAGTGGCCAAAGCTCAGACCATTTGAGCAACAAAATAATAATTTAACTCTATAATCCATGAACTAAAATAAATATCCATAGTCCATGGTGATTGATAAATGAATAATGATAAATAACAAGAAAACAAGTAGACATAGCTCCTTA